TTTTTTTCATGGGAAAGCAGGTGTCATGATGGTTAAGGTTCTGGGTCCCACATGGCTGACTGCTCAGTTCATGTCCCAGACCCTCTGGCTTGGAAAATGTCAGACGTGAGTGTGACCAAAATCCCGAGAGGAGAATGGAGGAGGGGGGACTGTGACACGGCATTCCCTCTGCAGGTGATTTCTCACTTTCCCTCTCTCTCTTTCTCTCTCTGTCTCTCTCCAGGGAGTGCATACACCCTATAGCAAAATGAAAAAAAATTTTTTTTTTTACTATAGGGCATGTGTGCTTGCCAGAGCTATACACACACACACACACACACACACACACACACACACAGATTAAGAAAGTATATTTATATATATATATATATGTGAGTGTGTACCCCCCCTGCCCCACCTCTCTACTCGCTCCATCTCAGAGCACAGGCCATTCTGGCCGCCAAGGCCACCCCTGACCTGTGGTCTCCAGACTCTAGCACCTCCTGGCACTCGCTGTCCCAGCCACGCTGGCCCTCTTGCTATCCTCGGCCCGGAGGGCTCTTTCTTCGGAAATGCCCATGCTTGGCCCTCACCTCCTTCCATCTGTGTTCGGATATTAGCCCAGATCTCACCCGCGATCTCCCTCCCTCTAGTGCAATGAACTCTCAAATACTTCCTCCCTTTTCTGTCTCCCTCACCAGGATGTCGGCTCTATGAGGTCGAGGATATTTCTGTCAGCTTATTCACGGCTGTACCCAATGGCTACTCCTGGCTCAGAGGGTGTGCTCCATGACGTCCACTGAATGGACGAGATGGGCACCTGGAGCCTGGGAAGGGGCGACTTGCTCACAGCACAGCCATCCAGAATTAACGGCTTTGCCTCCTGGGACCAACAAACACCAGCTCACAGCTCCAGCCCCAAGTCCTCCTCACAGCCATGCCAGGTTCTGGGCCTCATCCCAACAGCCAAAGGATGTCCCAACCTCAGGGGGCCCGTCAGACTCTGCCAGGACTAGGGTGCTCACACAAGTCGAGGGCCTGCTACAGGAGAGGGATGAGAAAGGGCCTCCTCTGATGAAAGGGGCCATCAAGGTCTTGCGCTGGTGGAGGCCAGGCAAGAAGCCCTCTCCCGTCCTCACTCCCCGTCTCCCCTCCTGCCCCTCTAGCTATCTGAGCAGAGGCGTGGGAGACAGAAGCCTGACCCTCCTCGGGGGACGCAGTTCCCAAGCAGAAGAGCTGAACGCAGTGGCAGGGGAGAGCCTACCGCCCAACACCAGCAGAGGGCGCCTCAGCCCACAAGGTCTGGGCTCTGCCACCTCTGGCTCTGCTAGCCACACTGACTAGGCTCAGAAGGCCCCTGGGAGCTGGGAGCGTCTCCCCTGGACCTCCTCTCCTAATGCTGGAGTAAAGATCTGGGGGAAGCCTAGCAGGCCTGGGGCCACCCTGACCAGCAAGCTGGCATGGTCCTGATCATCACAGCCCCATGGGGTGAGCACTCGCTGTGGGTGGGGCTCAGGCGGGGCCTAGAGATACCTCCCCACCCCTACCCCTCTACCAACGAGCAGATGAAGACCAGGAAGTGGCTGCACTGGCCTGGGGTCACCCAGCAAGGAGGTGACACCAGGTGGGCCTGGCTCCTCCAGCTGCCCTCCCCCTCTATCCCTCCCACTGACATCCATAGGTCAGGAGGGCCTCACTCCTTCCCAGGCTGCCTGAGGTGCACAGGGATCAGCCATGAACTCACACATGTATGTGCACGGACCAGTGGCTTTATTGAGGGCCTACTGTGTGCTGGGCACTAGGTCTGTGAGGGCCCGACACCCACCTCCCCGTACTTCCCACTGGCCAGAGAAGAGGGTGCTGCTGAGACCCTAATGTTGAGTTGGGGAGGGGCTAGGGTGGAGGTAGAAGAGGGCGGAGGGGCCCAGCAGCTCTGTTCCTGGGGAGGGCAGGGCTCCCAGGGTCCTCCAGGTGGAGCCAAAGGCCTGTAGAGTCACCTTCTTCCTTCCACCAGGCCCTGAGTCAGACCAGGCATGCTCAAGAGGCCTGCACGTCCAGTCCTGCGGGGGTATGGGATCCATCGCTGAGTGGTTTCTCTCAAAGCAAGCCGTCTGACAGCAAGGCAGCCATACTGAGGAAGGAGGCGGTTCTCGGTTCCTGTTGGGGGCTGCTCCTGTCGGGGGCAGCTGCTGCTGCCTGCTCCCGGTGCTCCTCCAGAGTCACCACTGGGACCTGGCAGGAAGGAGGGGCAGGAGAGAGAAACAGACACCAGACAGGATCAGAGGAGAGACACACAGACACCATCGGGTACAGAAAACAGCCGGAGAGAGGCTCGGGACGGCCCGGTGAAGAGAGACAGAGGCAGAGGCTGCGAGAGAAGACAGCGGCCGTGGGAGACGGAGCCAGACTGGTAATGGAAGAGGGAACAG